CTTTCGACCATAGATTTAAACTTGGAAAATACCTCGATCAATTCACTTTTCTTCTTGATCAGGTAAGTCCATAATTTTTGACTGAAATCATTTATGAACGTGACAAAGTATTTGTTACCTCTAATCAAATCCACCTAGTTGGGATCACATATATCAGAGTAAATGACTTCAAGGATTGCCTCCGACTTGCAACCTGCATCCTTACCGAAGTTGTTCTTGTACTGCTTTGCGTGAACACATTCTTCACACACTTTCTTTCGAATATCGATTTATGGTAAACCTGAAACCATATTTCTTCTCTTCAGATCTCTATTATCTTTGAAATTGAGATGACCAAGTCTGTAGTGTCATATCATTTCATCCTGCTAGCTGTAGTTGCAAGACACCTATGCTCCATCACATTAAGCTCAAACCCGAGGGTTCTATTTTGAGACATAAGTGTCTTCAAGATTAAACTTCCACCTAGGTCAGAAACTCTCATCATCTTGTATTCAATCGACACGTTGTAGTTCTTTTCAACTAACTGCCTTATACTGAGAAAATTACTCTTCATGCCTGATATGTATAATACATTGGAAATTACTGACCTCTTGCCATCTTTCCTCATAATCAGAACATCACATATACCTTCAGCTACTAGAGTATTGTCATTTACAAATTTGACCATGTTCTTCATTGAGGGTTTTATGTTGACAAACCAATCTTTCCCACCACATAACCAGCCTCATTCTTGTTGATTTTGACCTGTCAAATTGTTGTAGTCTCTTCTATCTCTATTGTCGAACCATTTCCCTTTGCCTTTCTTTTCTCTTGGTGATTTTGCCTGCCACTACTACGAAAAACACTTTTTACCTCGGACACGAAATGCATAATACCTCAGCTAAAGAAGCTAGGTAACGAATGACGACATGAAAACTTACCACTTATCACCTCGGTGGAATTAAAACCGATAGGTAGAGTTATATGCACATGAGTTTGAGCCCCAAACAACATCACATTTATTATTTTCAAAACTAGCGTATCTTATATCTCGGTTTATCTTGAAAACCGAGGGAGTAAGATTATTTCTTTAAATAAAATAGTTACATTGTTTATCAAGAATCTCACATCTTTTTACATATAATATTAAAATGAAAATGAAAATCTCTAGAGATCTAGATAAAAATCAAATTCCCTGAAGATTTATATTTTAGATCTTTGAATTATTGAATCTTTGGAAAGATCAAACGTAGGGTGCAAGATTATTCTTTACGGATCTTGCATGCATTTGATTTTGAAGCAAAACAAAATAAGGGTTAGATAAATAAAATCAATACTCAAATATATGATTTTGTGCTCAAATAATATTTAAGAAAACAAACCTTAAACCAAGTAGTTTTCTGCTCTTACAATCCATCTTAGAGAACTTTTCCAAACGTCTTTATGTTTCAAGCGCTTCATGTTCTATATAGGTCAGATTTTTAATATTCAACATTTTTTTATAATGGATGACCCTTAGGTTTCACACGGATCACTAATGTCATATTTTTGAGTGTTGATAAACATTAAATGAACGACAAAGATTTGTTTAAGGGCGTTGAATATAGTAAAAAAAACACTTAACTATCCCCTCGGTCACAAATAAAACCGAGGTGAATAAGCTGTTTTTTTAATTACATTGTTTACACAGAATATTAAAAATATATTGTAAAATCTCTTTCACAATGAGAATTTTTATTTTTCATGTCCAGGTCACATGCAAAATGCTAGAGATATGTTTCCCAATGAAAATTTTCATTTTCTACACTTGCAATCCATCTCAGAGATCTGTAGTAGCAACTCATGATCAAATGGATGGTGGTGAATATTTCCTCTCTTTGGGGTGACTACATATAAGTTAGTCTTAGGGTAAAGTCTATTTAATGAGTATTTTTATAGTAAAATATAATTATTAAACACATATGTTTTATAAGATTTTATTATAAAACCGAGATTTTTTATCTTCCTTTTAACTATCACCTCGGCGATGTCGAAAATTGAGGTGAATAATTTTTTTTTTTTAAATTATTTGCTCTTATTATTAAATATTTTCGCTGATATCTAAATTTAGTTGCATTCCCCTCTTTGTTCAAAGTTTAAGCTCTCTTCCTTGTTGGTTAAACTTCATTCTTTGGGTAACTTGAAGCAAAAATAATTTTTTGCACTTGCAATCTATCAACTGGGTACTCTTTAAAGGTTGAACTTTCTTCTTTAACTAATGGTTATTCCAAAAATACAATAACAATAACATCAACACCATTATGTTGGGATGGATAGTAAGAGCATAAAAAATATTTTGTTCAAGATAGAAGAACATTGAATATTTTTTTTGTCTTGCAATCCATCCCAAAGAATAATGCTTGCGAATTTGGGACGGCTTCATATTAGTAAGGATTAGGGTAAAATATATTTAAGAGTGTTTTTATAGTAAAATCTTATTATTTTATAAATCGGTTAAATAGAAAATCGAAGGGTTAGAACATTTCGTTTACACTTATAAATAAATAAAATCATAAACTACGATAGCTGGGAATCAAAGCTTGTCCTAAGTTATTTTTCACCTCAGTGTTATGAAAACCGAGAGAAATTATGATTTTTTTAATTTTTTTAAATAATAAAAAATAGCGCACATTCCTTTATACCTCAGTTTTTTATTGTTCGAGGTGGAAGCTTCGTTATAAAAAGCGTTATTTGTTGCATTGTGCAAAGCCACATCACTCTTCGACTTACTTGCAGCTCTTTCAGTCATTCTTTGTTCATGAGATTCAAGCGTCCCTTAAAGTTATTCCTTTGTCAATATGGACAAATATTTCGACTCTTCTATGGCTACTACCACATGGTCGAAGTTTGGAGTCAATGATCTTAAGGTCTTTGCAATAACTGATCTTAATGTCAATATTTCTCCACATACCTTGATTTGATTCACCAGTTTCGTAATCCTAGTGAAAAAAATATGTTATGCTTTCATTGTCTTCCATCTGAAGCAATTCATTCGTTCTCTTGTGAGTTTGTAACCTCGCATCTTTCACTTTTTATGCACGTCCAAATGATTTATCCAGATTTTTTCATGCTTCTTTTGACGATTCTACATCACTGGCCTTTTCAAAATTATCTAGATTAACATATTGATGGATTATAAAGAGAGCTTTATAATCTTTCTTCTTCAACTATTTGTGTGCATCCTTTTCTTCATTCATCGCGTTTTATGCAAGTGGTGTTACTCTTTCCTTCACAAAATCCCAAAGATCTTGACAACAGAAAACAACCTTCATCTGTTTAAACCAATTCTCATAATTCTGACCATTCAAAATTGGGAGACTCGCCGGAAAATGGCTGTTCGGATGATTTATTGACATCGTATTTTGCTTCGCACGAATCACTCAGTCAGTGCTCTAGATATCAGATGTTGGAAATTCACCAAAATTTATGAAGAATTTCGCTGCAATCTTGATGAACAAGATTCAATCACACCGATAGAATTTCTCTTGTTCTTCACTCGAGTGAATCAACCAACCTTGGTTGCAAGATTTTCTTGCTGCACAACTGTTAATGGAAGAAGAAAGAAAAGATGAAATTGGAGAAGAAAAGAAATTAGGGTTTAAGCAAAAATAAAGCAAGAAGAAAAGATTTTCTGTAGATCTTCTCTCTACTTCTCAAACTGAAAATTTTATTCAATTGTGTAATTGCACTTCTGTTGTATGTTACAATTCATAATAGTGTTACTCCTTATTTATAGATTTGGACTTACTTGGTCCTCAAGCACGTTCAAAAACACACAATTAGCCAACACTACAAAATTAGACCTAAGTCGAAATTCCTAATCGAGGTACATTCCTTTGACGTTTCGACACTTACATAATTTTGACACTTTCTTACTTCTTTCGGACAACAAGCTTTAATACAAAGAATTACAATTAACAAAATCTTAAAAATTGAGCTTTATTTGAAGACCTGAAAGTATACTCTAACCAAGCTCTCAAATCTCAAATTTAAATTCTATTCAGGATAAATAATTTTATATTCATCCAATTCATACGGAGTTTAATTTTGTATTCATCCAATTTATATAGAGTTTTGGTTGTGCTTTAAATAGTTTTATGTTAGTAAATAGTGAATTTAATCTTCTTAAATTAATCGATGGTAGGATAGTGTATAAGTTTAAAAAAGTTAGACTCAAATTGTATAATTTGTATATATAAATAAAACTTATGATGGAGATTGAAATATCATTACGCAGGGGAACAAATCCTCTCTTGTGTAAATTTTGTGTAGTATAAACTCAGCTACTAATTTACTACTGCCGCAGGCGGTCAAAAAAGAATTGAAGGGTCAAAATATCTTTGATTAACAGAACAAAAATTAAGATATATACACTATTACATTCTAAATCTAATAATCAAGTTAAAAATCACTATTACAAGGAAACTAGTATCACACTATTCTGAATGCTACCAATTAAGATATAGGCACATCAATCTGATTAATAACCTTTATCTATGATATTAGGCCCTATCCTTTCCTATCTCTTTCAGACAATTGCAATGCAACCTATGCAGCTAAATTATATTGTTGTCTTATCGTCCTCCAATTTGATTGAAATGCTAAACCTATTTACAAACGAATCATCCCTTTTCTAACCATACTTTTATCTTTAAATAAAACCACATCCAACTGATTGTAAGTTGTAGCAATGATGTGAAAACAAATAGCTTCTTTGTATGCATATAACACTTCCTATCATTCATAAATCTTACCTCCCTCACCACGCACCAACTTCACGACATGCAAAGAATATATACACCTTTCTGAACAAAACATTGCACCTAATTAACCAATCATTAATTTCATCCCCTAAACTATAAAAGGAAACTCTTTCTTCCTATTTCTTCACACCACCACCAGGCAACAATATAAGCTCTAGTGTCTTGTGACTAATACTATATTCTTATAATTTCAAAACAACACTTCAAAAATTACTAAAAATGAATAACATCATGCAACAATCTCTCATTTCAACCTCAGTCCTTCTCCTTGCAATTACTTTCTACACCACCACCACTTTAGCCCAACTCTCACCAATTCAACCTCCAACAACAACAGCATCATCACCACCCTTACCAACAACAGCATCACCACCATTACCGGCAACAACAGCAACAGCACCAACACCAGGACTAAACACAGTTCCACTTGTACCGACAACACCAACTGGTGCACCATCACCCCTCATCCCAAAAGGACCTACCATTGACATAATCAACATCCTCCAAAAAGCAAAGAGATTCTCTGTCTTAATCCGTCTTCTGAAAACAACACAATTAATCAACCAACTCAACTCACAGTTAGTATCATCATCAGGTTCAGGTGGTTTAACAATTTTTGCACCAGAAGACAGTGATTTCTCTAAACTCAAAGCAGGGTTCTTAAACTCTCTATCTGATAGACAAAAAGTTGAACTCTTACAGTTTCACACTCTTGCTTCATTCATTTCAATCTCAAACTTCGATACCTTAACCAACCCTGTTCAGACACAGGCCGGTGATGATGCTAGGCTTCAACTTAATGTTACTACTTACGGTGGAAACCAAGTTAGTATGGCTACTGGAGCCGTTAATGCTTCCGTTACCGGTACTGTTTATACTGATAGCAAACTTGCTATTTATCAGGTTGATAAGGTTCTTCTTCCTCTCGATCTTGTTCTTCCGGCTAAGGCTCCAGCGTTAGCCCCAGCGCCTGGTAAGGGTTTGCCTAAGGCTGGAAAAACTAACTCTTCTGCTGTAGATGATGGTAGCAGTGCTGGTAGCGATGATGGTGATGGGAAGGTTTTGCCGGCGGAAGCATCTAAGGCAGGGGCTGCGGTGATGTGGGTTAACCTTGTTGTTTTTGGAATGGCTTTGGTTGGTTGGATTGTTCTATAAGGTGGATGTGGAATTCTTGATTTTGTTGTAATTTTTTATGTTTTGTTTTATTCTATTTTGTGAGTGATTCTGTTTTCATTTGAGGTTCTTTTACTATTTTATATTCTTCTTCTATGTTCTTTGGTAACTTGTAATTTGTGTTTCTTACATGGATTATTGAAATCCAATTTATACACGTGGGACTTAGGTCCTGTAATCAATTTTTTACACTCTGTAATGATATACTTTTATACTGCTAAAAAACACAATTTTCTTTGTTGATTTCCTTATGCCGGAACATAGAGTAGTAATGTCTGTTTTGTACTAACGATTAAAATCAAATGAACGTCCAATTCACATGATCAAAAGAAACCTTCCTCAAAGCATTGGCCTATTAGGCCCTGCAATGTGGTATAATCAATGATAAATAATCAATGGTTGATTTAAAGAAAAGTACCATTCTGTACAAAAGGCCCAACTTTGTAGGCAATTCGGGATGTCTTTAATCTCACACAACACCTAGTAATATGGACAAAGCATCTCAAATTTATTAAATGTAAAAGATGAGTTACAACTGATAAGAGGGTACATACGCTACAACCTTAGGGTGAAAACATAGGATCAAAAGCCTCCAACTAACTTTTAACTAACTATTAACTAACTAACCATCTATATATGAAAAGCTTGCATAACAAGGTAGTTATTAAAATAACTAACTTGTATTTCATTGTGTATTATCCCCCCACAAATTGAAGAATAGACGTTGATCATCCCTAATTTAGATAAAGAAGGTAAAATGTTATAAAAGAAGCAATTAGTGAAAAAATTAGTAATTTGGTCTTTGACATTTTACTAATTGATTGGAATATGCTACATTCATGAAACACGGGATTGATTGGAATATGGATGGCATTGAGGTTAGCACAATAGAGGACAAATATTTTTGAATATGGAATCTTGATGTCTTCAAGAAAATACATAGCCACCGTAGATTGTTGTAACAAAATTGAATGATACCATATCCCTTGAATTTTGATGATAACAAAATATTTAAAGAACAATGGGGTATTCTAACACCTGTTTAAGTATGTAGGCTTATAAGGCTAAGAACAGATGAAGAGAAACTTGAAAATTTTGAATTTGATGTTCAAACTCTAACTATAAAGATCACTTATAAAGACTTTGACTCTAAAATAAGATCTAGACTCTAAAAAAGTTAACATTTAATGAAAGTCAGCCTCTGATGATCCAGACTCTGAAGTATCAGAAGCCAAGAAGAAGACTCTGAAGAGATCAATCTCTGAAGATTGAAGTTTGAAGAAAGTCAACATATGAAGGATCAGAACATGGGTTCTCTTCAATCGAGGAAACTCTGACAGACTCGGATATTTTGTTCACATGACAATTTAAGGAAAAATATCTTCATTGTTGTCTGAGCTTCAGCAGATAATTCCTCTTGCATAAATGTGTTTTTTTATGTGTCCAATCAAGGCAAATGTTATTCAACTTTTTGGTGAAAGTCTTTCAACTACTTTTTTTATCTCTATATAAGGACCTCAAAGACCAGAAGCTGAAGACTAATATACTGCATTACAAGACTTTGATCCTTGACATTTCAAAGAGAAGTCACTCTGTCAAATTTGATAGACTTGGAATCTCTTAAAAATTTGTATATTTTAAAAGTTCTTAAATCTTAGAATCTTTCTAAGTTGTATTCTGTCTACACCTCTGATTGTATATCAAGTATAGTTTTTACCCAAATCTCTTAACAATTCGTTATAGAGTCAGAAGCCTCTTGCTTAGATCTTAAGCATTTGAAATCTCTTGCGTGTGTGCTTGAGTATAAAAGTCTCTTACTTGACGGTTTGAGCATTGAAAGTTTCTTGTTTGTGTGCTTGAGCATAAAAGTCTCTTACTTGAGAGTTTAATCATTGAAAATCTCTTGCTTGTGTTCTTGAGTATATAAGTCTCTTTCTTGAGGATTTAAGCATTGAAAGTCTCTTTCTTAGTGCTTGAGCCTTTGTAATTAGTTTGGTTATAGTGAAAATCCCTTGTAAGTGTAAGGGGAATGGACTACTCTCAGATTGTGAGAGGAACCAGGATAACTATTGTGTGTCTTTCCTTTACTTTCATGTTTCTGATATTATCATTCCGCTGATGTCAGCTCCGATACTCTGAGTCAGATTCTGGTTCAAAATATGGTAAGAAATTTCATAAGCAAACCTAGTTTTTTTTGAGTCAGATTTTGAACTAAGTGTTTAAAATCTGATTAAGATCAATCAGAAGTAGAAGAAACAAAAGCTTAGAGGATTAAAGCCAACACAATTCAACCCCTCATCTTATATTTTTCTCACCTTCAGTTAGCATCAGAGTAAAATTTGTGCTAAACACTTAACATTGGTGCAAAAAAGACCCTAACATTTGTGCTAAACACTTTTTTTTATTATGGTTGATCCTCAACCAACTATCATTAGTTAGGGTAATCCTTTTGGCACTGTCAGTCATGAATATAGTACCTCATAGAAAAACAATTATATAGTTAGACCTCCAAATTTCAATGAAGACTCTGGAGAGTTTGAATGGTGGAAGAGCAAGATGCATACTAATATCATAGGTCTTGATGATGAGTTGTGGGATAATTTGGAAGATGGCAATGATGTCTGGCAAAAAATATTTTCCACCTGCTCAAATTTTTTTTTACAGAAAACATCATAGAGTTAGAGGCATCTTGGTTGATGCTCTACCTGAATACATCAAAATCATTAATAAATTTACTACTAAGACCATTTTTAAATCCTTATGTTCTACATATGAGAGGAATCAATAAGTTAAGGAAGCTAAGGATAACCTTCTGGTTTAACAATATGAGTTGTTCATAATGAAGGAGGATGAAGACATTGAAACCATGTTTTCTAGTTTTCAAATTCTTGTGTCTAGACTTCAGGTTCTGAAAAAGAGTTACACTGCCTCTGATTATGTCAAGAAGATTCTTAGGAGTCTTCCTGTCAGATACAGACCCAAGGTAACAACTATATAGGAGGCTAACGACTTAAACACATTAAGTCTTGAAAGTTTTATCAGCAATCTCCAGCGTTATAAGTCTTGATACTCCTCTACCAAGAAATTAAAGTCCCTTGCCGTGAAATCTTTTGCAAAATCTATAAAGGCTTATAAAATATGGAACTCTGAAGAAATTTCTCAATCAGAAGGTTCTGAAGAAGACCCAGACGATGAGGAGATGACCTTTATCATTAAAAAATTTCAATACTTGGCCAAGAAGGACAAGATATTCTCTAGTAGAAGCAGTGGCTTCAGAGGATAAAGTTCAAGAGGTAAGAAGAATGACCAAAAGGCCTACTTCAACTGCAATAATTATGGTCACTTCATTGTTGACTATCCAGAGCTGCAAAAGGATAAGTCAAAGAAGGGAAACTTCCAGAAGGACAACTTCAAAACCAGGTTCAAGAAGAGTCTCATGGAAACTTGGGATGAACTTGACAATGAAGAAGACTCTGAGAAAGATGAAGAACAAGCCAATCTAGCATTGATAGCTCTTACATCTTTTGAAGCATAATCTGACTCAGATTCTGGTTCAGAATATAAAGAGGATGAGATATTTTCTAAACTATCTCGTTCTAATTTGATTAATTTTATTCAAGATCTTATGAGTAGGTGTCAGGAGAAGGCCAGACACATGAAAATATTAACAAAGCAGTATGATCTTTTAAAATAGGAATTAAGATCTGTTCAAAACACGAATGAAGCTCTTGAGAGAGATCATATTGCTCTGGTTAAAGAAGTATCTGATAAAACTCTTGATGAGCATGAAATGACTCTTCAGTAATTTATCTCAAATGACCTTAAAAACCAAACTTGCACCCGTAATCTATGATGTAAGTAGAAGCATAGGAAAAGGTCTCGATTACCATAAAAAAACCTTTAAATCAGAGGACTGAAACCTTGATTAAACCATCAGATCATTCTTCTTCAAAATTTACTAAAAAAGGGTTAGACTTTTATTTTGTACCTGATCCTAATAATGCATAGACTCTGAACCAATCAGAACCTAAAACTGTTGAGTCAAGGGTTATGAAGAAAACAGAACTCGAGACTCAAAATTCAAAGGTTCTGAAGTCACTAGAACGTAAAACTCTTAACTCAAAGGTTCTGAAGAAACCAAAACCTAAGGCATCTGATCATAAGGTTCTGAAAGGTTTAAAACTAAGGTCAAGATTTATTCAAGACAAAAAAATTTCTAAATTAAAAGTCTTAATTGATTTTAAGCCTTTTCGTATAGAGTAAAGATACAAAACAAGAGAAAACCTATCAGAACAAATCCTAAAGTACCCATAAGACTATGCGTACCTAAATCTGAAATCATTTATATACAGAAATGCTTCAAGGGAGAAGCAAAGTAGCAGTCATGGTACCTGGACAGTGGCTGCTCACGACATATGACAGAAGAAAATATGTTCTAAACCTTCATTTTAAAATAAGAGGGAAATGTTGGATTTGGAGGAAACCAAAAAGGGAAGATCATTAGTACAGGTACTATTGGTAACTCCTCTATCTCTATTATTAATGTCTGGTTAGTAGATGGACTAAAACATAACCTACTTAGCATGTCAATTTTATGATAATGGTTATGAAGGAGTGTTTAATAAGAACATTTTTACAATCATGAATGAATGTGATAAATCTCTAGTGTTCAAGGGTAAGAGGAAAGACAATGTTTATAAAATTAATTTTTATGAATTGGATGATCAAAAGGTATTCTGCCTTCTACCAGTGAATGATGAAAATGGGTCTGACACATAAGGTTAGGTCATTCTAACTGGAGATTAATCTCCAAGTTTAACAAGTTAAAACTTATTAAAGGGATGCTAGATCTTAAATATCATTCAGATGCTCTTGTGGAGCATTCCAAATAGGGAAAATTAAATAAACCTCTTTCAAAAGAAAACCCTTTGTCTCTACTTCCAGACCCTTAGAACTGCTTCACATTGAGTTATTTGGTCATG